AGTAACACATGGATGTAATTAATTTATTTATTATTATATATTTTTAAATACAAACTTATACATCTGAACAACAACTTACAGACGCGCACAAACTACGACTACATCTCATCTGCCCAGATCCCCATCCCTAGTGGCTGCATTATTGTTTTCCACTTGGCCTTAAATTGCACCAATATGTTTTTCTCAATCGCCCATGCTATTTCAATATTTCAATAATACATAATTCGATTTTTCCATTGTGTTAATTGATTTGATTTAGACATTTTTTGTATATGTTTTTTCAAGATGAGAAGAGAATTCTCCAGCCCATTGGTTCTCACTACACCCTCATATGCCATGTCTTGAAATATGCAGACAGATGGATTAAAAGTAAGTTTACATTGTATTACTTCTGAAATTCAATTTTCTTTTATTATTTAAATGTTTTATTTAACCTTTATTTAACTAGGCAAGTCAGTTAAGAACAAATACTTATTTACAATGAAGGCCTACCACTACTGAACAAAAATATAAACGCAACATGCACCAATTTCAACAATTTTACTGAGTCACAGTTCATATAAGGTAATCAGTCAATTGAAATTAATGAATTAGGTGCTAATCTATGGATTTCACATGACTGGGCAGGGGCTCAGCCATGGGTGGGACATCTGTAACATTGTGTTGTGTGACAAAACTGCACATTTTAGAGTGGCCTTTTATTGTCCCAGCACAGTGTGCCCCTGTGTAATGATCATGCTGTTTAATCAGCTTCTTGATATGCCACACCTGTCAGGTGGATGGATTATCTTGGCAAATGAGAAATGCTCACAGGGATGTAAACACATTTCTGCACAACATTTGAGAGAAACAAGCTTTTTGTGCTTATGGAACATTTCTGGGATCTTTTATTTCAGCTCATGAAATATGGGACCAACACTTTACATGTCGCGTTTATATTTTTGTTCGGTTGGTCCGTCCAAAATTACATTTTAATTCTGTCATAGAAATACATTTATTTCCTGTTACCAAGTCGTTTACGGTTTCTATGCCTTTAGTTTTCCATGTGGACCAATTTATTGGTGAAGCTATCCAAGGATTGTTCTATAAGGTTGTGTTTTTAGGGAGTGATATTGGTTCTTGTAGAATATGTTACATTTTCTTCTAATTGTTATAGTGTTCTAAACTATGAAGTTTTAATGTTCTTAGCTTTATCCTTTGAAAATATTCTGGGAATGAGCATGTGCATCTTCAATATGTATCCATTGTTCGTCTTTTGTGCATTTAACTATATGTTGCAAGTAAAAGCCTTTGGTAGCGAATTGATACAATTCCAAGTCTGGAAGGTTAAAACCACCCTCAGACTTAAGAAGATGTGAAACATTCCTTTTAAAGTCTGTTATGACCGAGTATATTATTTTAAAAGAATGTATTCGGTGGGGTAAATAAATAAATACAAAAACATTTGGAGCCATGCCATTCTAAATAGGTTTATTCTACCTGTAAAATGTATGTGAAGATTATTCCATTTAATTAGATCTGCCTTCATATTGTTGAGTAATGGAATAAAGTTGTCTTTATTATTTGTTGTTTGTTGTCACTTACTAAGTATTTCATATTTTTTGTGGTCCACTTAAAGGATTGCTGTAAATCGTGAGTTATTCTTTTTATTTTTCCTATTGCCATTATTTTATATTTTTTCACGTAAATGTTATATCCTGAGATTTTATGTAGTATTATATATTCTGAAAATATTGGTCAGGTACAGTATATCAGGAGATCATCTGCAAATAAGTTTAGTTTATATTGATTTTTACAAATACTGATACTTGTTACGTTTGGGTCCTGTCTAATTCCTTCTGCAAGCGGTTCAATTGCCAGTGCAAACAGGAAGGGGAGAGGGGACATCTCTGTATTGTGCCCCTTTCTACAGCAATTTCATCAGATAATGTATTATTTGTGTATATTTTTGCTTTAGGACATTTATACAATACTTTTATGAAATTTATTATTTCAGCTGCAAAGTTGAAAGCTTCCGAAGTTTTGAATAGGAAAGGCCATTCAAGATGGTCAAAAGCCTTTTTGGCATCAACAGCTATTATTGATAAATCTATATCTTGTTTTTTGGCATATTGCATTAAACTGAAACATGTCCTTGTATTTGTTTGTAACTGTCTATTTTTAACAAACCATGTTTGATTGATATGTATCATTGAAGAACAAGTAAAACATTTTAGCAGACATGACATATGAGGGCGGTGGGCATTCCATAGAATGGGAGGATCATAGTATAAATACATAGTTATTGTATACATTACATACTGTATATAGATACAGTACCAGTCAAAAGTTTGGACACACCTACATCATTAATTCTACAGTAATTTACAATGATAGTATTTTACTGTAATGTATTTCTGATCATTTGTTGAAGAAAAAAATCATAGTATGCAAAGAAACATTAACACTGCAATTTACATCAGCAATTAAGCTGATTAAATCCTGCATTATGTGGTGATTGATCGCGCTATTTATAGGGCCAAAATGGGCCTGTTTCTGCACATCAGGCATGCTATCAAAATGGCACATCTATTGCTGCTTGACGACATTGCCGAGCGTGCTCTGAGAAGGGAACGCATCTTTGAGGATCACGTTGATTTATTTGCAGACTGACGAGTACTTGATCGGACGGTTTAGGCTTCCAAGACACGTTTTAATGGAGCTGTGTGATACTTTGGAGCCAGCGCTGCGAAGCCATACCCAACGGTCCAATCCCGTACCACCTCATGTGCAGGTACTCTCCACCTTGGGATTTTTAGCCACTGGGACATTTCAGCGGGAGTTAGCAGACCGGGTGGGCATATCACAGCCATCCATAAGCCGCGCTCTCCCACGAGTTGTGGATGGAATAAATCAACTGGCCACACAATATATTTTCTTCCCCTACACAGCGCAACAACAGCTGCCGGTCAAGAGAGGGTTCTACTCTATTGCGGGTCAGCACAACGTAATCGGGGCAATAGACTGCACTCACGTGCGCATTAAGGCACCCTCACCAGACCCATTCCCATACCTCAACCGCAAGCAATATTACTCAATGTGCAAGTAATCTGCGACTCCGACAACCATCTCTTGAACGTGGTCTCCCGCTTCCCAGGAGGTGCACATGACTCTTATATTTTGCAGAACATTTCTGTGGGAATGCGCCTGTAACCAGGAGCTGCTGGAGACGCATGGCTCATTGGTAAGCATTGTTCAGTAATTTCAAATTCCAATTGTTGGTTTCAAAAAGTGGGTTTCTTCATTAATGACTTGTTTCATTAGGAGATCGGGGGTATGCCCTTGCGCCCTGGCTAATGATGCCACTAACAAACCCTCAGACGCACCAAGAGGCCTCTTATACTGTACAACAGATAATAATAGTTTGTTTGTTTTGGTGAGCATTTAGAGCATTTTAGTTATGTTTTCCTGGATATCCTTCAGCTGTTTGTTGCTCTCATTTGCATCTCCAAGTTTTTTGTCTTTTCCTCTAAAGGAATGGCTTGTTGGGTTTCAGTCGCAGCGTCGCTTTACCCACAGATTGGTTCGTTGTTAGTTGGCTGTACCTGTACCTGCACCAAAACTATTTTTCTTCATAGCTTATTTTCAATCTTTTCTTTTTTTTATAGGGAGCCAATTAGTTTTCAGCACTTTTATTTCCATGACTGATCGTTTTTTCATGGCTCTGTCTTGCACCTCTGCAGCAGACATATGGTGGGCAATATGTTTGGAACATCAAATCGCAATATATATAGAATCATGAGAATCGCAACACATATCGTATCGGCACCTAAGTATCGTGATAATATCATATTGTGAGGTCCCTGGCAATTCCCAGCCCTAGTTATCGACATGGTTTCGAAGTAGCCTATAGTGTTGTTTTGCATAATGTACAGGTAGCACATTTTAGAACAGATGGTGTTAACAAACTGTTGCCTACCTGTGTTAATTTTTTATTTTCATCAAAGCACATATTTTGCTCAGTGGTGCGCGCTGTTGAGTTGAAAATTGCAACCATTCGAGAGAAAAATGCAACCATTCGCACAATCATCCTAAAATCTCATAAGAAAAGAGGTAGTGTTTTCTGTATATATGCGATTATATTTGGTTCTGTTATGTTGAATACTATCATTATGTGATATTGCAGACATTGATTCAGCTTTGATCAACTTTTTAAATAAGCACCATTCGCCAGAGTAACCATGTTCTCTACAAGTAGAGCAGAGACTGTGCGTAAAGTAGAGAATCCTGCACATGCGCAGAAGCTTCGGGACCTTTAGCTGTCGGGAAAAGGGGTCCAGAAAGTCAGATCCGCAGCCACTCCGTAAACTTTAACTAGGATGCGCAGCTCAACAGTAGTAGCAGTAGCAGTGTAGTCCCGTGTAGCTCAGTTGGTAGAGCATGGCGTTTGCAACGCCAGGATTGTGGGTTCGTTTCCCACGGGGGGCCAGTATGAAAAAAAATGTATGCACTCACTAACTGTATGTCGCTCTGGATAAGAGCGTCTGCTAAATGACTAAAATGTAAAATGTAGTGTAAATCAACTCATAGCCTCATACACAACTCATAACAATGGGTACACAATATCCTGTTCCCAAAAGCTTGTGTGACCTGTTTACCCTGAATATTAATTACTTCAGCTTCAGTTTTCTAATTGGGGGAGTTGAGAGACATTTAAAGCTGGGGGAGAGAGATAGTGTGTAAAGTGTCCCGTCGAGAGCACACACACGGATGACTGAGTACAATTTCACACCAGCAGCCCATGCCCTCCTGTCATCTCCTCTTTCTCCAGTGATGGTGTAGAGAGGGTGGGTGACATACACATTTAATTGGGGGATTTTAAGAGCCAAAATGGAAGGGCAACAGTCTGCACCAAAATCAAGACACAGAAAATAGCATTGAAAGTATAAGTCCTTTCTAAACAACAGTCACAAATGTAAACTTGAATGAAACATTTGATTACATAGACTCATTTCAAGGCACTAGTCGTGAGAAACTCCATGTGCCAGCATGCTGCAGTGCGGGGTTCTCTCTCGTACCTTGTACCCGCCCATGCGGTCCTCCTGTCGGAATGGTCGGCTGTTCTTCAGCCAGCGCATCTTAGGACGTGGGTTGCCCCCGGCAGCACAGCGAAACTTGACTGTGTTGGCAGCAGGTACAGCATGTAACCTCTTCTCCATCTTCTCCAGCATCGTCCAATAGGGCGCCCCTAAAGTCAACATGTCAAATTAGATTTTCTCCATCTATAGCAAAACAGGAACATATAACATCTGATATTTGGGAAGTACCAGACAGTACCAGAAAGTTTCCATTGTTACCACATAGTTTATTAGTTAAAACCATGTCCCAAATGGCACTTTTTTTATTTTTTCTTAAAAACTGCATTGTTGGTTAAGGGCTTGTAAGTAAGCATTTCACTGTAAGGTCTACACCTGTTGTATTCGGCGCATGTAGCAAATACAATTTGATTTGATTCGATTTATATAGCGCACTATTTTTGACCAAAGCCCTATTGTCCGAGGTGGCAAGCCCTAAACTGTTAGTCACACTCCCCTAGCCCCCTTCACAACACTGGGCTGTATGGACTTACAACCCAGCTTTACAACCCAGTTTTACAACCCAGCCATGGCTTCACAGGCTACGTCCCAAATGGCACCCTATTCCCTATGGGCCCAAGTCAAAAGGATTGCGTTAAATAGGGAATATGGTGGCCATTTGGGACGTAACTACAGTTCACACTGGAAACACTTAAAACTCAAACACATTTGGTCTCTTTTGAGGGTTGCAGGACGCGTTGCCAAGAGGGTAACTAGACCATCACATCCATTTAATCTAGTTGCAGTTAGTGTTTTTTTACCACTTCTTCCAATTACAATATTTAGCCTCCTGTCATCGGGGAAGATATGGATGTTGGGAAGATGGGATATTTATCACCCTTGAATAATCATTATGTTCCAGAAGGGAGAAAGATTATTTCACATTTGTTGTGAGTGAGAGATGTTTGATTTGTAAAGGGTAAGTTACCCACACAATGATCACGCTCCTTCATTCAAACACACCCCCACAGGGTTGTATAGGAAGTTAGGAACACCCCTTTTCTGTCTGGCCTACATACTGTAACTGCAGCTCGTTCACCCCATATCTCTCCTTTTCTGTAGTTCCCTGAAGCCCCCCCTCTCTCTCTCCCTCTTCCTCTTTCACACACACACTTTATCTTCTCTCTCTCTAGCTCTCTCTCGGCACCTGGGAGAGTGATTGCATAAGCAGATGGCCTCAGAAAGAAGAGAAACTTGGAGCGAAACAACACAACTGATGTCCTCCCCACCATCACTTCCTATATCTATCTTACAGGAGCAGGGAGAAGAGGGGGAACACTCCAGGGTTCCTGTAGCCTTTAGACACTCCTTTAGCCTTCTTGGGCCTCTGTCCTTCTCTTTCCACCTCTCTCTCCCTGTTTCAGCCCCTCTTCCCACTCCTCTCTTCCGTCCACCAGACAGCAATCAGAATACTATCAGAGTCGGTCACCTCCCATCATTTTCTCTGGCATGCAAACCGGACAGTCCACACATACTTTGATGCAGAAGAAGTAAACCATGCTCTTCCTTCCAGGATGAACCAACGCACTATAATTAGACTAGTTAGTCTCTTTTAAGCCCATTTCCTTCTCACTCTGTCCCCTATTTCTCGCCATCTTATTTTCTCTTTCAACACTCCTCCCTACAGACACACAGACAGTCAGACAGGTTAAGGTGGCGACTGCCCCCATTCAGGAGCTCGTCTCTCTCAGGTGAACTCTGACCCCGGAGTGGCAGCAGCTGCGTCTGATGATGAGCACGGGACATGATGGTGAAAGGTGACCGGGTCTGTTTCCCATGCTCCGCTCGTCCGGAGGTAGCGAGACTTCAAAGAACCCCCAACCTCTGTCCAGATGAGGCCAAACTCTCACTGACCAACTGCTGTGGCCCCTAAGACCCCTCTGTGGCCCCTAGGACCCTGTGTGGCCCCTTAAGCTCTCTGGATCCAGATAGCTTCTCTTGCTGTTTACTCTGTGGCAGTCTGGGGTTAGCTCAGGTAATCTATGTCTCCAAAACAAGAATGTGCTTAACGTTCAGAATGAGGAGTGAGGCACAAACATTAAGTGTCAAATGATAGTATTAATTGCTTTAAAGTTGTACATTTGCCCCATACTGTACAGCTGGTACTACATCTACATATACTGTATACCTAGGACAAACATAACAAAGCAGCTAATGATAATAGACTATTAAAAGCTTGTAAATTGTACCCTACAGATGTTTCAAACGAAAACAAACGGGAGCAATTAAGGTTGATCTCCTTAACAGGCCAGAGAATTAGTTAGAACAGCAGAACCAATGGGAGTGGAACCCCATATCCACTCTGACGTCAATGCTGCCCCGAAAAACAAAGCCTCCTCCATGATCCTTCCGTACGCCTTGCTTGTCTCCTCCAATCACAGCCAACCTGACGCTGGGCAGGGGGTACAACTTAGCTCATAACTTTTTCTCCCAGTGTTTTAGTGGGGGCCAGGTTGTGACTGTGTTGTTGTTCAGTCTCTTTTTAAGAAAGTGGAATCAAAGTGTACAGAGTACGAGCTGAGGCAGACACTGAAACCTAACCCATTGGGCCTTAGAATGGCCCCAAGCACAATGCTCAGGCCCCCTTCTCCTTCCCTCCTTCCTTTTTTCCTTAAAAAGCCTCCACAACCCCCCTCCAGAAATGGGCCGAGGGCCAGAGCTCCACAGCGTACACAGAGAAGTGCTGGTGCTGATCCAAACCAGAACGCTGTAGTTAAAAGGCCTCAACCTTCCCCTCGTTTTCCTCTCTTCCCCCACTCTTCCCGGGTTTTGAATTCTTAGAAAAAACACCAGGAGAAAATTCAACTGAGCTGCCAGAACAGTTTTTACTTTGCTTTCAAACAGCTTATTACCACCAGAAACAGTTTTTTTTCTTTCTCTCCATTTTCCTCCCCTTACAGAGTTCCTAGACGACATATTTAATGGATTTCAGGCCAATTATAGTCGGTGAAAAGTGGGGGAGTTGAGCCCACTATTAGGCGCGGTGCGTGTTGACAATTTTAACAAGATGTGGAAGCCCTCTTCTTCACTTTGGCCCTGTGATACACACACATCTCATCACATACAGCCCATCTCCCATCTGGTCCCTAACCCTGTCCAGATGGGAGCATTTCATAATGGATGAGTCCAGCTGACTGGTTCCTTGGGGCCTGACTACCTGAGAGATGCCGGCTACAGTAGGAATGTTAGGAATTCCTCTTCCCTGGAGCGCCTAGAAGGCCTGGGAGAGATAGGCTTACAAACATCACCCTCACAATACACACACACATACACATACACATTCCCAGCAGACACACACTTCCAGACTCACTACATACACAGGAATGCTACAGTACAGCTGAGATCTCATTGCAGATTTGAACTGATGAAACTACCAGATTTAGTAACACTGTGCACACAACACACAAAAAGACAAACATTTAGGAGTATAGTAACTTTGGTCATGATGACATTTGACCTGATGGTTGAAAGTCCAAACCATGGACCTCAGCTCCACAACAGTGTTATTATATAACAATGAGGGTAAAAACAACCAAAGAAAATGACAACCTATTTGCTGAGTTCACATATTGCCCCAATGCCCCCACTACAGAAGACAACGGTCACAGCCTCTCCTGCCCTGTCCCCACACTGTCCCCACAATACTATGCCCATACTCACTTATCTGCTCTCCGTCCGCCCCCACATCCTCCGATCGCTCTGTGTCGTCCTCATCGTCCCCAGACGAGATGGCATCTGTAGAGATGACCACGGTTACTTACTGCTATCTCTGCCACCACTCAGGACAGCTCCAGCCATACACATACACTCACACACATGCACACACACATGCCTTCACACACACACACGTATACACACACACTCACTGCAGCACATGCTCATACATGCACTGATGTGTTTAGGTGAGGTGGCAGGATCAGGTGATGTAATATTGACGTTTACACTGTTCACAAAATCATAATCATACGTAACCAAGGACAGATACACTCACACATACACTCACACGCATGCACACACACATGCCTTCACACACACGTATACACACACACTCACTGCAGCACATGCTCATACATGCACTGATGTGTTTAGGTGAGGTGGCAGGATCAGGTGATATAATATTGATGTTTACACTGTTCACAAAATCATATCATACGTAACGAAGGACAGCATGACTCACTGACGTTTGTAAGAAAAGTTGAATAACTACAACTACATGACCCAGAAAACCCTCCCATTCCACAACCCTTCCATGGCCATTCCCCAACTACCACCCTATTAAAAAAGCATCAAAACCTCAAAAGATCAGGGATGTAGCAGCATCTTGGTTCTTCACAGGTAAAGTAGCCAAAGCCACACTGCAGTCCAGCAATTGTATACCTTGCCTACTCTGCCAATACTATCCACAGCTAGGTGCATGTGTACAGAGCCATATAGAGGCACAGGTGTATACTACATTTACACTCTTAGAAAAAAACTCAGGAGTTTGAGTAATCTGATGAAGTTTAAAAAGATACAGTTGAAGTCAGAAGTTTACATACACCTTAGTCAAATACATTTAAACTCAGTTTTTCACAATTCCTGACATTTAATCCTAGTTAAAATTCCCTGTTTTAGGTCAGTTAGGATCACCACTTTATTTTAAGAATGTGAAATGTCCGAATAATAGTAGAGAGAATGATTTATTCCAGCTTTTATTTCTTTCATCACATTCCAAGTGGGTCAGATGTTTACATACACTCAATTAGTATTTGGTAGCATTGCCTTTAAATTGTTTAACTTGGGTCAAACGTTTCGGGTAGCCTTCCTCAAGCTCCCCACAATAAGTTGGGTGAATTTTGGCCCATTCCTCCTGACAGAGCTGGTGTAACTGAGTCAGGTTTGTAGGCCTCCTTGCTCGCACACGCTTTTCCAGTTCTGCCCACAAATGTTCTATAGGATTGAGGGCTTTGTAATGGCCACTCCAATACCTTGACTTTGATGTCCTTAAGCCATTTTGCCACAACTTTGGAAGTATGCTTGGGGTCATTGTCCATTTGGAAGACCCATTTGCGACCAAGCTGAAACTTCCTGACTGATGTCATGAGATGTTGCTTCAATATTTCCACATAATTTATCTTCCTCATGATGCCATCAATTTTGTGAAGTGCACCAGGCCCTTCTGCAGCAAAGCGCCCCCACAGCATGATGCCGCCACCCCCGTGCTTCACGTTTGGGATGGTGTTCTTCGGCTTGCAAGCTATCCCCTTTTTCCTCCAAACATAACGATGGCCATTATGGCCAAACAGTTCTATTTTTGTTTCATCTGACCAGAGGAAATTTTTCCAAAAAGTACGATCTTTGTCCCCATGTGCAGTTGCAAACCGTAGTCTGGCTTTTTATGGCGGTTTTGGAGCAGTGGCTTCTTCCTTGCTGAGCGGCATTTCAGATTATGTCGATTTAGGACTCGTTTTACTGTGGATATAGATACTTTTGTACTTGTTTCCTCCAGCATCTTCACAAGGTCCTTTGCTGTTGTTCTGGAATTGATTTGCACTTTTCGCACCAAAGTACGTTCATCTCTAGGAGACAGAAAGCGTCTCCTTCCTGAGCGGTGTGACAACTGAGTGGTCCCATGGTGTTTATACTTGCGTACTATTGTTTGTACAGATGAACGTGGTACCTTCAGGCGTTTGGAAATTGCTCCCAAGGATGAACCAGACTTGTGGAGGTCTACAATTTGTTTTCTGAGGTCTTGGCTGATTTCTTTTGTTTTCCCATGATGTCAAGCAAAGAGGCACTGAGTTTGAAGGTAGGCCTTGAAATACATCCACAGGTACACCTCCAATTGACTCAAATTATGTCAATTAGCCTATCAGAAGCTTCAAAAGCCATAACATCATTTTCGGGAATTTTCCATCATTTTCGGGAATTAAACTTCTGACCCACTGGAATTGTGATCCTGTGAATTATAAGTGAAATAATCTGTCTGTAAACAATTGTTGGAAAAATGACTCGTGTCATGCACAAAGTAGTTGTCCTAACCGACTTGCCAAAACGATAGTTTGTTAACAAGAAATTTGTGGAGTGGTTGAAAAATGACTTTTAATGTCTCCAACTTTAGTGTATGTAAACTTCCGACTTCAACTGTAGGTGTGAGAATGTTTTAAACTGTACCTATATGGGAATATTTGTGCATGTAATCATTTTACATATACAGTACTGACATAGTTAATATATTTTCCATGATTGTTTTTATTTCAAATTAGTATGTTCTGTATTTTAAAAACACACCCATCATTATCATATTTCCCAACATGCTCTATTGCAGGTTGATTTTAAGAATTGTTTATTTCAATATCTGTGTTTTTGTATGTACAGTGGCTTGCGAAAGTATTCACCCCCCTTGGCAATTTTCCTATTTTATTGCCTTACAACCTGGAATTAAAATAGTTTTTTGGGGGGGTTTGTATCATTTGATTTACACAACATGCCTACCACTTTGAAGATGCAAAATATGTTTTATTGTGAAGCAAACCCCCCAAAAATAATACGTTGTAGAGCCTCCTTTTATAGCAATTACAGCTGCAAGTCTCTTGGGGTATGTCTCTATAAGCTTGGCACATCTATTTACTGGGATATTTGCCCATTCTTCAAGGCAAAACTGCTCCAGCTCCTTCAAGTTGGATGGGTTCCGCTGGTGTACAGCAATCTTTAAGTCATACCACAGATTCTCAATTGGATTGAGGTCTGGGCTTTGACTAGGCCATTCCAAGACATTTAAAGTGGACAGATACTACAATCTCTGCTGTGGATCTTTGCAGCTTCTTCAGGGTTATCTTTGGTCTCTTTGTTGCCTCTCTGATTAATGCCCTCCTTGCCTGGTCCGTGAGTTTTGTTGTGGTGCCATATTCTTTCAATTTTTGAATAATATATTTAATGGTGCTCCGTGGGATGTTCAAAGTTTCGGATATTTTTTTATAACCCAAGCCTGATCTGTACTTCTCCACAACTTTGTCCCTGACCTGTTTGGAGAGCTCCTTCGTCTTCATAGTGCCGCTTGCTTAGTGGTGTCCCTTGTTTAGTGGTGTTGCAGACTCTGGGGCCTTTCAGAACAGGTGTATATATACTGAGATCATGTGACAGATCATGTGACACTTAGATTGCACACAGGTGGACTTTATTTAACTAATTATGTGACTTCTGAAGGTAATTGGTTGCACCAGATCTTATTTAGGGGATTCATAGCAAAGGGGGTGAATACATAGACTTTTCCATTATTTATTCTTTCAAATATTTTGAAACATGTTATTTTTTTCATTTCACTTCAACAATTTTGACTATTTTGTGTATGTCCATTACATGAAATAAAAATAAGAATCTATTTAAATTACAGGTTGTAATGCAACAAAATAGGAAAAATGCCAAGGGGGATGAATACTTTTGCAAGACACTTGATTGATTGGTTGATTAATCTTATGCTACACAAAGATAAATAACATATATTTTTCTAAACTAATCCAATCTGTTAGTAGTTTGACTTAATATACCAGTTAGTGAGATGGTTGTTCCAGTTTACATGATTTAGGTTGTATCAATAATTAATTTGGAGGGTTGAATACCGGGAAACAGGTTACTGAGATTTACCGCCCAAACCCACTCCCTTTTCCCAGGAGAAATAACTGCGAGAAACTGGTAAATTATTATAAATTACTTCTATCAACATCATGACTTGAAATGGAACTGCTAAATAATGTGATGTCTAAATCTGGCTTCTCTATGGCCTTCTCTCTGCTATCTGCATGATCAATCATCAACGCTCAGGGTGGGGACAGACAGCGCATCTCAGTAGGAGCGCAGTTCACAATGCATGTATCATCTCATCATGGTAACTTTTTGAACTTTTGAAGGAAGAGAACGCGTGCGACGGCGGTAGGCTATAACAGTTTTTTATTCAGACCGTCATCCATAACCATTCAATCTTCGTGAAGAGAAGTGAAGGACGTCTACATCTTATTCTAGTCCTATGTTATTCAAGCATGTCATTATAATGATGAAGATATAGCCAACAAAACTAATTTCATTTAACTGTTGAAAGCAAGGAAGAAATGCAGCAACAATAGAGAGAGAAAGAGGAGGGCTCAGGTAGTATCAGGCTTGAATTAAACCCAGACATATTTATATACTTTATATGCTTTAGAATGACACTTTCGGTTTTGGCGGGAAATACCAGGTCACCCGGGAGAAAAGTGATTTATTCTTGGGATGGAACATTTGTAAAATACCGGGCAAATATTCAACCCTAATGTACGCCACCCTGGCTGTCATTCTAAATACAGGTTGCAGGTGATTAAAATGTCCAATTGTTGGGTATCCTCACTAATTCCTATTGGGATTCCAATAGGAATTACACATCACTTTGCAAGCCTACATAATGTGACTTGCAGGCCTAATGTGGTCTGTAAATCAGGAGTTTCCGACCGCTGTGTTAGGGTGTAACTAGGCTCTGAAAGAAAGGCCTTAAGATATACTGTATGCAATGTATCGTTCATGGAGGGTTCTAGGAAGAACCCTTTAAAGATTAAAGGGTTCTATGAAGAACCTTTAGAGGATAAAAGGGTTCTTGGTAGAACTCTTTGTAGAGGGTTCTACGAAGAACCATTTATAGAGACTTCTAGCTATTACAATTTACAGAGGGTTCTATGAAGAACCCTTCATAGAGGGTTCTAGGTAGAACCCTATGCAAAGGGTTCTACCTAGCACCAAAAAGGGTTCCCCTATGGGGACAAACCGAAGAACCCTATATGGTTCTACTTAGCACCTTTTTTTCTAAGAGTGTAGGACCTACACTATGACCAACCCTACCTTTGTCTGTCCCTGTCCTGCCCTAGCAGGCTGGTTGGCTGGCTCGTTTCTCCCAGCTCTGGCTTATTGGCTGCTCCCTGCCCTGACAGGCTGGCTGGCTGACTGGCTGGTTACCCCCTGTCCTGCCTCCTGCCTGGCTCCCTGACTCACCTGTGACGTTCACTATGAAGCAGAGCGTGTCGCTGCCCTGAGGGCCCACGGTGCTGCATGCGTACAGGCCAGAGTCCTTGGGCGAGGCGTCGCGGATCTGCAGCACCTCCCGCTCTATCAGCGTGCGGTTGTTGACCCCCAGAGAGGAACCGTCCTTAGTCCAGGTGATGGTCCCCACCTCCCCAGGCAGAGGGCAGTTGAGCTTCAGCAGTTCCCCCGGGTGCACCGAGCACACGGTGGGCTTAGAGATTTGGTATTTGGTCGGAGGCTCTGCAGAGCGAAGAAAAGGGAGGAGGAGGCCAAGGAGGGGTGTGCAGAAAGGAGGGAAGAAAGACAGGGAGAAAGGTGGGAGAGGAAGAAACAAGCAATAGTGTAAGAAATAAAAAAATAACACCACATAACCCCATGGATGCACTTAAATCAATGTAAAGCCAAGAGGAGTGATACAGAGAGAGAGGAGGCCCAAACTGTTTAATCTTAAAACCATAAATTAGGATGACAACCCTCATTCAGCCATACCCTTTACATTATCTTTAGTGTTGGGTTGGGTTTTCATGTGTAGGGCGGCAGGTAGCTTAGTGGGTAAGATCATTGTGCCAGTAACCGAAAGGTCGCTGGTTCTAATCCCCGAGCCGACTAGGTGAAAAATCTGTCGATGTGCCCTTAAGCAAGGCACTTAACTCTAATTGCTCATGTAAGTTACTCTGGATAAGAGCGTCTGCTAAATGGCTAAAATGTAAAGCATGCAGTTATGGCCCAAAGCAGAGGGTAGACAGTGGCACAGAGCTGGAGGCGGAGCCTGTGAGAATAACGACCAATCATTGTGCCCAGACAGATAGACAGACCCCCTCCCTTTCAGCACAAATACCAGGCAGCCAATGTGAGTACAGCAGGGAAAGACAGATACCTCCAAAATAAAAAAATATATACACTGAACAAAAATCTAAATGCAACATGTAAAGTGTTGGTCCCATGTTTCATGAGCTGAAATAAAAGATCCCAGAAATGATCCATACGCACAAAAAGCTTATTTCTCTAAAATGTTGTGCACAAATTTGTTTACATTCCTGTTAGTGAGCATTTCTCCTTTGCCAAGATAATCCATCCACCTGACAGGTGTGGCATATCAAGAAGCTGATTAAACAGCATGATCATTACACAGGTGGACAATAAAAGGCCACAAGTTTTGAGGGAGCATGCACACCATGTTAATTTATCTATCATAAGCCTCAAATGTCATTTTAGAGAATTTGGCAGTACGTCCAACTGGCCTCGCAACCAGAGCACGTGTAACCACTCCAGCCCAGGACCTCCACATCCAGCCAATATCCAGCAACTTCGCACAGCCACTGAAGAGGAGTGGGACAACATTACACAGGCCACAATCAACAGCCTGATCAACTCTATGCGAAGGAGATGTGTCGAACTGCATCAGGCAAATGGTGGTCACACCAGACACTGACTGGTTTTCTGATCCACGCCCCTGCCTTTTTTTTAAGGTATCTGTGACCAACAGATGCATATTTGTATTCCCAGTCATCTGAAATCCATAGATTAGGACCTAATGAATTTATTTAAATTGACTGATTTCCTTATATGAACTGTAACTCAGTAAAATCTTTGTAATTGTTGCATGTTGCATTTATATTTTTGTTCAGTGTATTTTTAAAATCCCCTACTCCCATCAGAAAGACAAGCCAGACAAGAAAGGGTGAAAGCTGTTTTATAGCCACCCTTTGCCTTGATGACAGCTTTGCACACTCTTGGCATTCTCTCACCTGGAATGTCACCTGGAATGCATTTCAATTAACAGGTGTGCCTTGTTAAAAGTTAATGTGTTGAATTTCTTTCCTTCTTAATGCCTTTGAGCCAATCAGTTGTGTTGTGACAAAGTAGTGAGGTATACAGAAGATAGCCCTATTTGGTAAAAGACCAAGTCCATATTATGGCAAGATCAGCTCAAATAAGCAAAGAGAAATTACAGTCCATCATTAATTTAAGACATGAAGGTCAGTCAATATGGAAAGTTTCAAGAACTTTGAAAGTTTCTCCAAGTGCAGTTGCACTATGCGCTATGATGAAACTGGCTCTCATGAGGACCACCACAGGAAAGGAAGACCCAGAATTACCTCTGCTGCAGAGGATAAGTTCATTAGAGTTACCAGCCTCAGAAATTGCAGCCCAAATAAAGTGACAGACACATCTCAACATCAACTGTTCAGAGGAGACTGTGTGAAACAGGCCTTCATGGTCGAATTGCTGCAAAGAAACCACTACTAAAGGACACCAATAATAAGAAGAGACTGGCTTGGGCCAAGAAACATGAGCAATGGACATTAGACTGGTGGAAATTAGTCCTTTGGTCTGTTCAAATTGGAGTTCAAATTGGAGATTTTTGGTTCCAACCGCCATGTCTTTGTGAGACGCGGTGTGGGTGAACGGATGATCTCTGCATGTGTATTTCCCACAGTAAAGAATGGAGGAGGAGGTGTTATGGTGTGGGGTGCTTTGCTGGTGACACTGTCTGTGATTTCAAGGCACACTTAACCAGCATGGCTACCACAGCATTCTGCAGCGATACCCCATCCCATCTGGTTTGGGCTTAGTGGGACTATCATTTGTTTTTCAACAGGACAATGACCCAACACACCTCCAGGCTGTGTAAGGGCTATTTTACCAAGAAGGAGAGTGATGGAGTGCTGCATCAGATGACTTGGCCTCCACAATCCCCCGACCTCAACCAAACGGAGATGGTTTGGGATGAGTCGGACCGCAGAGTGAAGAAAAAGCTGCCAAAAAGTGCTCAGCATATGTGGGAACTCCTTCAAGACTATTGTAAAATCATTCCAGGTGAAGCTGGCTGAGAAAATGCCAAGAGTGTGCAAAGCTGTCATCAAGGCAAAGGGTGGCTATTTGAAGAATCTCACATTTCAAATATATTTTGATTTGTTTAACACTTTTTTGGTTACTACAATATTCCATATGTGTTATTTAATAGTTTTGATGTCTTCACTATTATTCTACAATGTAGAAAATAGTAAAAATAAAGAAAAACCCTTGAATGAGTAGGTGTTTTCAAACTTTTGACCGGTAGTGTACAACCATGGTAAATCTAGTCTCAAACCTCTGCCTTGATTTGACGCACTCAGTCTACAGATTTCAACACTCAGTAAAGCCCTTCATTACAACAACAAAAACTTGGTAGAGGTGCAACATTTTGGGATCGTTTATTGCAATATTATTGCAGTCATGTGTGTGTGCGTTTTTTCCATTTAAAAAAAATATTGTACGTGGCTAACGTCTCTTAGACAGTCTACATTTGGCTGACTGTACAGTAATAGTTAGAGGCATAGTACAGAGGCACTCCCAACCTTTCCTGTACCTCAGCACACCTCCCTAAGTACATTCCTCCTTCATTGCCTCAGCACACCCCTCGGCAGGAAGAGAACGTTTATTCCACTCGCAGGCAGCCGGCCAGGCCAGAACGTGTGTGCAAGGCTCTAAGCACTCCCCCCAGGCACATTGCCCCACACAGGTATAGTTCCGGTACTGTGATATTTTTTTATCTTTCCTTCACTCCGGAAATAATTAAGCCCTCCCTCTCCACCCACCACCATCACCCACTGTGTGTGGTCTGGGGAGGAGTGTGTGTGTTGATTGATGGGGGCTATATTCACCATCTTTGTTTTTTTTCCCTACATAGTTTTCCATACTACTTTAATTTTATCATTATTGACCCTTGCGTTTCCCTCCATTGTGTGATCAAAGCCTATGGAAAGAGCTGTTGTGTTAGCCTGTTGCCTTCCACTAGGCCTGATTCAGGCCCTCAGTTAGGGAGCTAGGCCTCTCTGTCTTTCTGTCAACACAGGTGAGAGAGAAGGGGTGTACAGAAAGCCAATATACACAAAACTGAGAGGGGATGGCCATATACTATGACAGGCACCATGCATCGCACACACAGAATGGGGGGTGGGGCAGGACATGGTTAAATAACTCCAAATGGTGAACACTTGGAAAGGCATGCTTAAGTGTTACTTTGAGGTGTTGTATCTCTCTTCTCTGCTGTGTGTACATCTGTCCATCTTCATCAATGCCTCTCCTCCCTCATTCCTCTCTTTCACGTCTTCCTCCTCTCCTTTTCCTCCTCCCATGACTCTGTTGACCTGACCCTGACCCCATCCCTAAACCTGTTGACACCTTCTGGATTCCCAATTATTCATGGGAAGCATGGGGACCACCACACTCACACATCGAAACACACACACTCTCCAAATTCACTAACCATAACCCACACAGCAGATTGTGGCCATGGGCTTTGTTACAATGCAGCATCTCAGTGGAGGGCTGAGTTGAGGGTTTGAAAACCACCTCTTTTCAGCTCATTCTCCTCCTTCTACACCACGGGGATGTGTTCTGATATTAACTCATCTTACTCCTAGACACCTCTCTCCATTCCTACCAGTCAGCTCTCCCTCCCTTTCTCCCCATCAAAATTAAAATAAAACTCATTACAAATATCTTGCTGCGTTTTGTAAACGCAGATCTAAAATGCATTTTTTGCTTCAGTTGCATTCTATCAAAAGACAATGCTCTGACTGATGTGTAGCTACATCTCCTGTACTTTTCTCGGTGTAGCCAGCCTACTTTTCTCCGGTAAAATGCAAGATTAACTTTAAGCAAAACATTAGGAAATGTAGCTGGTTACATTGTTTCTATGATAAACATTAGAAATATGATGGCCATTCATCGTTTTTTGCCAAAAAATATGTGCTTTTTCATTGTCTCATTTACCTGTGTGGCTGCCAGCCAAATAGTGTTGCACTTCTGTTGTCATCTGATGATAATGAAGCTATTTTCTGCCGAATGTGTTGCACTAATGTATTTTCTGTGAAGGAAAACCATAGTTGCAAGCCCCTGATCACTCTATTGAAGCAAAAAAAACACCAGACTTTCAATATAAAACCCAACCCCTGTCAATACACAGCTGGACTCACCTGCTCCCGCTTTCTCCCATTCTGCTATTTACAAACAAACACATGACTGGCTCAACTGCTCTGGGGAACTACGGTAAGCTTCATAATGCAAAAATAATGTGACAGGTGAAATGAAGAACGCGATCATACGCACAAGTTTGACTGCCGGTATTTACTTAAAAATGATATGAATATGAACATGTATTGAAAAACATTTCAAAGTTATCCCATGGCTTTTTCCAAATACCCCGGTATACGGTATATTCGGTATACCGCCCAAGCTTACTACCAGCCTACCTGTCAAGAGATGAGTCTCAGCTAAACCCTGCCTATACGAGCTGTTGACATGTTGAGGGATGACGTTGGTCTGACGTTGGTCTGACTCTTGCCGTTTGATAATTCCAGACGTCATTCATATTTGGACATGCACACAAACATATATTCTTTGTTCTCTCTGCTATCATTTCAGCAAGCTAGCTAGCTATCAATGCATTATCTAAATTGCACAGCTATATATCAATGCGTTATCTAAATTGCGGCCGCGAATCCGCCATAGAAATAGAAAGAATATAAGCTCAGGTAATATGGATAGCCTAACCATTGAATGCTTTGGAGCATGTATTGAAGTAATGGGCAAGTTCGTTTTGCATGGCCGGGTGCACCGGGTGGGTTGGAGATTTATCTTTAGGATCAATAGAATGGTCGAAAATGAGCAAACTCTGCACACCGGGCCATTTGCCTAAAACTTTAGTGGTCAAAACCATTCATCTTGGAGCGACAGGGGGAGCGGGGTTCTAAAATGCAATACTATCACGGAATTTTACCATTTATATGACACAGGTTTCTCAAAACAACGTTTGAGGATTTTACATTTTGTGGTCGTCGTCTTCAAAGTTGTTTCCGTGGGTCTCAGAAAGCTAAATTAGCATGACACGAGCTGAATTAAATGTAAAGGGCTTTGAAAATAGAAAGCTTAGTATACGCTCAGTGCTCTGTTGACATTTCACAGAGATACGCTTGTTTTTGTTAGAAATCTTCAAAAAATAACAAGAATTTCGAATTAATATGAAAAGCGTATACTAAAATATGAAAATACTACATCATGTCTCATATACCCATCTTACCTCTATAATGTTTTATGTCCTGCGGATTCGAGAAGAAAGATGACGAGTTAAATGGGAAAGTGAGCCTGTCACATAGCCAGTAGCCTTAATTCTTGCACAGAATCCAGCCTAGCTGACGCGATGCAATTTTCCAGATTTTTGACAACCTTTTCTCTGGCCTCCATTGATTTAGTGACCCTAATTCTGGCCATCCTACAAGGGGTAAAAACGTGAATAACTTTTGAACGGATTATGATAGAGACATGAGGGTTTGACCATAGGTTTTCTTAGAGGATTATCTACACAATGAACATATGTTTTTTGATTGGACACCCTATAATGATGATAGTCCATGGGCCAGAGGGACAAATTTCACATATTTGGCCACTTTGGGGTGGAAAAGTCCATGACTGTCGGTTATATTTTGGTATGATACCCATGTATCGGAGGTAGCTAAATGTGGGTATCACTGCATTATATGTTATGACCCCTATACGTTTAGTTGTGCTAACAGGATTGAGGGTATGAAATGTAATATTTTATTATCAGGGAACATTCTTCTCAAACTAAGGATATTTTATATGTTATTAACTTCATAAAAACAACACACATTAATGTATGAAACAATTGGAATGATAATGACATCTCTATGGGTGCACTTTGGGGGGTCAAAGGTCATATGTGAACGATCTGCTCGATTCAGACTTATGTAGCAAAATTTGAAATGTTGTTTTTTACATTGGATAAAAGTAGAGACTCAAATCAAATCAAATCAAATTTGCCACATACCTCGAATACCGTAAAATGCTTATTTACAGCCCTTAATCAACAATGCATTTATTTTTTAATAAAAAAGTAAAATAAAATAACAGTAGGGAGGCTATAAACAGGGGGGTACCGGTGCAGAGTCAATGTGCGGGGCACCGGCTAGTTGAGGTAGTTGAGGTATTATGTGCATGTGGGTAGAGTTAAAGTGACTATGCATAAATAATTAACAGAGTAGCAGCAGCGTAAAAAGATGGGGTGGGGGTGCAAATAGTCCGGGTAGCCATGATTAGCTGTTCAGAAGTCTTATGGCTTGGGGGTAGAAGCCTGTTGAGAAGCCTTTTAGACCTAGACTTGGCGCTCCGGTACCGCTTGCCGTGCGGTAGCAGAGAGAACAGTCTATGACTAGGGTGGCTGGAGTCTTTGACAATTTTGAGGGCCTTCCTCTGACACCGCCTTGTATAGAGTTCCTGGATGGCAGGAAGCTTGGCCCCAGTGATGTACTGGGCCGTACGCACTACCCTCTGTAGTGCCTTGCGGTCAGAGGCCGAGCAGTTGCCATACCAGGCGGTGATGCAACCAGTCAGGATGCTCTCGATGGTGCGGCTGTAGAACTTTTTGAGGATCTGAGGACCCATGCCAAATCTTTTCAGTCTCCTGAGGGGGAATAGGCTTTGTCGTGCCCTCTTCACGACTGTCAATGATAGTTTGTTGGTGATGTGGACCCCAAGGAACTTGAAGCTTTCAACCTGTTCCACTACAGCCCCGTCGATGAGAATGGGGGCGTGCTCAGTCCTCTTTTTTTTCCTGTAGTCCACAATCAACTCCTTTGTCTTGGTCACGTTGAGGGAGAGGTTGTTATCCTGGCACCACACGGCCAGGTCTCTGACCTCCTCCCTATAGGCTGTCTCATCGTTGTCAGTGATCAGGCCTACCACTGTTGTGTCGTCGGCAAACTTAATGAGGGTGTTGGAGTCGTGCCTGGCCATGCAGTCATGGGTGAACAGGGAGTACAGGACGGGACTGAGCACGCACCCCTGAGGGGCCCCCGTGTTGAGGATCAGCGTGGCAGATGTGTTGTTACCTACCCTTACCTTCTGGGGCCGGCCCGTCAGGAAGTCCAGGATCCAGTTGCAGAGGGAGGTGTTTAGTCCCAGAATCCTTAGCTTAGTGATGAGCTTTGAGGGCACTATGGTGTTGAACGCTGAGCTGTAGTCAATGAATAGCATTCTCACGTAGGTGTTCCTCTTGTCCAGGTGGGAAAGGGCAGTGTGGAGTGCAATAGAGATTGCATCATCTGTGGATCTGTTGGAGCGGTATGCAAATTGGAGTGGGTCTAGGGTTTCTGGGATAATGGTGTTGATGTGAGCCATGAGCCTTTCAAAGCACTTCATGGCTACAGACGTCAGTGCTACGGGTCGGTAGTCATTTAGGCAGGTTATCTTAGTGTCCTTGGGCACGGGGACTATGGTGGTCTGCTTGAAACATGTTGGTATTACAGACTCAGTCAGGGACATGTCAAAAATTTCGGTGAAGACACTTGCCAGTTGGTCAGCACATGCTCGGAGTACACGTCCTGGTAATCCGTCTGGCCCTGCGGTCTTGTGAATGTTGACCTGCTTTAAAGTCTTACTCACATCGGCTACGGAGAGCGTGATCACATAGTCATCCGGAACAGCTGGTACTCTCATGCATGCTTCAGTGTTGCTTGCCTCGAAGCGAGCATAGAAGTGGTTTAGCTCGTCTGGTAGGCTTGTGCTACTGGGCAGCTCGCAGCTGTGCTTCCCTTTGTAGTCTGTAATAGTTTTCAAGCCCTGCCAAATCCGACGAGCATCAGAGCCGGTGTAGTACGATTCAATCTTAGTCCTGTATTGACTCTTTGCCTGTTTGATGGTTCGTCGGAGGGCATAGCGGGATTTCTTATAAGCGTCCGGGTTAGAGTCCCGCTCCTTGAAAGCGGCAGCTCTACCCTTTAGCTCAGTGCGGATGTTGCCTGTAATCCATGGCTTCTGGTTGGGGTATGTACGTACGGTCACTGTGGGGACGACGTCATCGATGCACGTATTGATGAAGCCAGTGACTGATGTGGTGTACTCCTCAATGCTATCTGAAGAATCCCGGAACATGTTCCAGTCTGTGCTAGCAAAACAGTCCTGTAGCGTAGCATCTGCGTCATCTGACCACTTCTTTATTAACCGAGTCACTGGTGCTTCCTGCTTTAGTTTTTGCTTATAAGCAGGAATCTGGAGGATAGAGTTATGGTCAGATTTGCCAAATGGAGGGCAAGGGAGAGCTTTGTATGTGTCTCTGTGTGTGGAGTAAAGGTGGAGTTTTTTTCCCCTCTGGTTGCACATTTAACATGCTGGTAGAAATGAGGTAGAACGGATTTAAGTTTCCCTGCATTAAAGTCCCCGGCCACTAGGAGCGCTGCCTCTGGATGAGCGTGTTCCTGTTTAGTTATGGCCTTATACAGCTCATTGAGTGCAATCTTAATGCCAGCATTGGTTTGTGGTGGTAAATAGACAGCTATGAAAAATATAGATGAAAACTCTCTTGGTAAATAGTGTGGTCTACAGCTTATCATAAGGTACTCTACCTCAGGCGAGCAAAACCTCGAAGTTTCCTTAGTATTTGATTTTGTGCACCAGCTGTTGTTTACAAATATACACAGAGTCAGCCGTTCTATCCTGCCGATGTAGCGTATAGCCCACTAGCTGTATGTTGTCCATGTCATTGTTCAGCCTCGACTCAGTGAAACATAAGATATATCAGTTTTTCATGTCCCGTTGGTAGGATATGCGTAATCGTAGGTCATCTAATTTATTTTCCAATGATTGAAGATTGGCTAACAGGATTGATGGAAGAGGCAGTTTACTCGCTCGCCGTCGGATCCTTACGAGGCACCCCGACCTACGTCCACGATATCTCCGTCTCTTTCTCCTGCGAATGACAGGGATTTGGGCCTTGTCGGGTGTCTGTAGGATATCCTTCGCGGCCGCCTCGTTGAAGAAAAAATCTTCGTCCAATACTAGGTGAGTAATCGCTGTCCTGATATCCAGAAGCTCTTTTTGGTTATAAGAGATGATGGCAGAAACATTATGTACAGAATAAATTACAAATAGCGCGAAAAAACACACATAATAGTACAATTGGTTAGAGCGCTGTAAAATGGCAGCCATCTACTCCGGCACCATCAGTTACCAGTCAGAGCTAGAAAATGGTTTATCATACACTACAGTTGAGGAACAATGGGAAAGTAATTCTGCTTTGAAAGTTGATAAACTTGTAACCTCACTTTTGAGAAAATGGCCCTTGAATGTTTTGGTAAACCTACTGGAGAGCTCTTCTTTGTCTACACCCATTCAGCATCGTTCACACCCTCTTTCTCTTTAAGGATTCACATGTGAGGACATGTACTAAACAACCAAAGATTTCAAGACTAAAGGCTGGTCTATACTATGTGTGTATTCATTAATTCAATCTGGAGTGCCAGAGTGCGCCCTGGGCATTCAGAAACTCAGAGCGTTGTCAGATTGTCGGTTCG